CTACCTTAATACTAGTTTTAATACTTAAAACTAAATATAGTCACATAGTCCTCCAATCTTGATGCTGATTTCTGCATAATCTAGCTTCTCTGATAAATTACTCAGATTGCATTTAAGTATGGTGAGAGGATACTTTTCTGATTTTTTTGAAAGTCTCTTCAAATATTGCCTCCTTTTTAATATTTCTATTTTTTGGGGGGGGTACTTTAGGCAAAAATTTATTAGACTTTCTTGTTATGTCTTCCATGTATCTTAAGTTATCATTTATGTTTTCCATTATCCTTCACTCTATGGGTATATCCTAAGTGTGAAGGGCCTTCAAAAGTTTATAGATAAATGTAATTGAGAGATAATGGAATTTTCCCATCAACTTTTTGAAACCCCCTCCCATTTCAGTTAGTAATTCTCTTTTTACTTATATCTAGCCCACTGTTTAATATGTCGATTGAGATCCTAACATGTTCAGCAACTATACTTTTGATTCTGAAAGTTTAAGTTGAATTTTTAAAATTATAAATTACTATTTTTAAATAATCTCTTATTGTTTGTTCATATTTAAGAAATTCACAAATTATAACCCTAAATTTTATATCAAATTATCTGAAATCCTTATAGATCCAAATCTGATATTTTTGTTTTTGAGATTCTTGTGCCTGGTGATCTCTTTTCTTGGATATTTGGTGACATTTGACATGCTAGTTGGCCATTCATAATCTGTTGAGAAATGGAATATGTAGATTGATGATGTTTCACCTAAACAACAGTTGCATGTTTCTTCCAGGAACCAGCAGTGCTGAATTCATTCGGGAGTCTTGGTCCTTCTGCCAATGGCAGTGACTACATTGGATTTACCCTCAGGGTAGTCCCATGTCACTTCCCTGGCTTCTGATCATGCTGTAGATCACTTGTAGGTTTCTTTTGCCTCCTGCTGTCCCAAATTGCAACCAAAAATTATTTTTGTAGGATCTAGCTCTAAAACTAAAGGGTATCTGGTCTCTCATATAATCAGAAAAATCCTTGTCCTGCTTTTCATGTAGGGACTATTTTGGAAATCTTACCATTAAGGACATTAAATATGTATTATTCTCCCTTGTGGTTTTGTGATGTTTGTTTGTTTGGTTTTCATATATTTGTAGACTCCATGGTTGCTTTGAGTCAGAATTGACTCGATAGCAGTGTGTGGATTGGTTGGTTCATTAAATCCTAGGCTTTTTTTTTTTTTTTTTAATCTTTAGGGGTAGGTCTTAAATCTATATCTTGGCCTTTTCCACCAATTTGGAATTTTTGCTCCCTTATAAGACATTTCTTTGGGATATTCAGCTTATGGTTGAAAGTTAAAATGTGTGAGATTTTTTCAGGTTCATTTTTTCTTCTGGCCTGTTCACCTGTCTTCCTGCCTTGACATCATCATTCTCATAGCTCCCAGACGCATATCCTTTTGTGATCTCATTTTCCCCTATGGTCATATATAGCTTATTACAAGCTTTGCCTGTCATCCTGCAGCATCTCTCTTACTTATCTTTTCCTTCCTTTGTCCATCTTCAGAAACCTAATTCTCTCATTTCTGAATTGCAACAACAGTTTCATAGCAAATTTCTTCTTAATGCTAATCATCTATATGTCTTAAGTCATTGCTCATTTTGCCAATATTGGGTTAAAATTTCTAATCCTAAGATTAAAAATCCATCTTATCTCAGATGCTTCTTTTAGAAGGTGTACATGTGTTTCTTTTGCTGCTGCTTCTCTGTGCCCTACACTGCCTACTATAATGGGCATCTTCCCCCATAGCATACCGAGCTTGCTAATTAGCATGCAAGGATAGTTGCCTTGATTGTCTTTCCTTCTCTCTACTTCTTAAATGTCTCTGTCTTCTTTAATAGCTTACAGCTCTCTTGTAACTGTGTACCGATGGAGATAACTACATACTCGTTAGAGAGTTTATTTGCATATTTTGTTTACGTATAGTATACTGATTTTGTGTAATTTGAGTATGCTATTTGTCTCTCCAAGGAAGTTATAAATTCCTAGCAGAGGAGGGTTGCATTCTAATGTTTTAATCATCTTTGTTTAACACACGGAGTGCTCAGAAAAGTCTGTTGCACATCTAAATAAGAAGGTACTGAGCGAACTAGAGTTGATTCCTTCCTTGCTATCTCATGCTGACAAACAGCAGGTAACTTAACTTAGACCATCTGGAGAATTATCCTGCTTGTAAATATGTTGTTTTATAAATGTGGTGGGTTTTTTTTACCCCAGGAACTAGTAGAACTTTAAAATACATTGGTCTATTATTATTTTTCCTTTTTTAACAGATCTGTTTAATTGTATATCTGTTAAGAAAGTAGAACCAATAAATTAAAGTTATAGGGCATGAGTAATTTATAGTTCAGTTATAGTAATTGGTGAACACACATCTTTCTAATGTGAACCATTTTATTGCTCATAATTTTTAAAGAAATGCTAACCAGAAACTACATAGTCTTACAAAAATTAAAAATTTCCTGTAACAAATGCAAATATCGTTTTGTCTTAAGATCTTAGTTCGAAGAAGCAGCAGCCCTGTTGAATTGGATTTAAAAGATGGTTTACAGCAGATGCAAGGAAAACGTAGCGAAAGACAGAAGAGTAAGTTTCATAAATGTGGTCTGTTTTCATTCAGATACAGAATTGGTGTTTTTTTATACCCATTCTCTGACCCAATGGCATATTATCTCAAGAATCATGCTTATGAACTGGAATATTTTTTTCCTGGAATCCCAAGACTGATGAAAGGTTAACCACACCTAAAACAAAAGAATGCTAAGGCTGATGGTGTGGGTGAACATACTGATCTAGAAAGAAAAAATTCTCTTTCTAGCAAGTTCCCACAGATTTGGAGCAAAGTCTTCAGAAGTCCATTGTAGTAATAGGATAAGTGTTACCAAAAAAGCATTTTGATTAGAATCCTCAGATATTCTGTCATATAAAATATAGCCATAATACCCTGTTTCCAAGAAGTCAGGTAGTGGCCATCAGCAACCCCAACTTGTACGTCTAGCTGCTCTTGGTGAGTGTGGAGGCAGCTGGATTGTACCGGCAGACTTTACTGACTTTTAGTTTTGTAGAAGATGAAGTTGTAGGAACCTCACAGATTAGTTACATGGTTACTGGCATAATGTTCAGTTCTTTGCATGTGACTAGAGGATAGCAGAGAGCACTGGGAGTCCAGTGGTAGAATTCTTGCCTTTCTGTAGGTGACCCAGGTTCTTTTTCTGGCCAGTGCACCTCCTGAGCAGCCACCATTCCTCTCTCAACAGAGATGTGTGTTGTTATGATGCTAAATAGGTTTCAATGAAATTTACAGACTAGTGAGAAAGATTTAGTGGTCTACTTATGAAAATCAGCCAGTGGAAACACTACAGATCATTGTAGTTTGATCTCCATGATTCGGAGGCCAACATGAATGTAGCTAACCACAACAGAGGACTGCAGGTTAGCAGGATCAAGGCTGGGGCCCTGCTAGTGATAGATACAAAGAGCAGTAGGAAGGTGAGCAGGCAGGAAATTGTTTTGAAATGGATAGACTTTAAGGAGCATAGCTGCTGGGGTCTGTTTTATATCAGATTAAATATCCCTTGTCTTATTAGCCTTTGAAAGAATCATTGTATTATTACAAATACATACATAATATGACTTAATGGGGAGATTGTTGACAAAATCCTAGTGGAGCTTCTCACCCCCCGGCAATCCTAGATTATTGATCTGACCTGTGTCTAGATGCCAGGCGTACGTACGCATTCTTTGACTCAGTCAAAGAATAAATTTGAATTAGAAGTGGAATCAGTTATCACTCTCTTCCTCCACCTACCCCTCTTTTGTTGGTGAATAAGTTGTACTGGAAAAGGTAGTGATTTAATGGAATCCTATGGGTCTATGAAATAATTTTCAGTGGTTGAGGTACCTTGCAAAGAGTGATAGAGTGGTGATGGATAGATTGTGAAAACTTGTAAGGATGATTAATGCCCTGTGCTTGGAAACCTTGTGTTGTTGACTAAGAGCCCCAGACAAGTACCTTTTGAGCTGAGTCATGCTCTGCAGTTTCTTCCCAAGCTTCTGAACAAACAATTCCTGTTGTTTTAGCTATTTAAGTGTTTAACCAACAATTAGTTTTCATCAAGTCAATTCTAACTCATGGCTATCCCATGTGTGTCAGAGTAGAACTGTGTCCCATAGGGTCTTCATTGACTGTGACCTTTCAAAACTAAATTGCCAAGAAATCCTCTTAGTGGATTTGAGCCATCAGACTTTTAGCTAGTACACCTGCCTATTGGTGATTTTGAATGTTGTGATTTTCCATATTTGTTATCTCAAACTTTTGTTCTCTTGTGCTAGGTGAAAGTGTCAGCAGTGACATACCTCTGGGGTTTAACAATGAGGCAGAGCTTTCCATGGGTGCCTGGCATAGCTCTGAAGAGGACCAAGAATTGAATACTCCCACAGATGTTGCAGCTGACTCTGATGCACACCATTGGTTGCAACTGAGTCCCGCTGATGCTTCAAATTTAACAGGTAATTATGTATTTGAAAAAAAAAAAAAAAAAATTTAAAGCCGAAAACCCAAAAATTTCCAAATAAAAAAAACTCCCAAAGAAAAAAAAAATGAATAAAAGGAAATAAAAAAAACTGGAAAAAGAAAAAAAAAAAAAGAACATAGATTATGTTCATATCAACCCCCACCAAAGTTGGTATGCAGCCACAATCACCAGTTCATAATTAGTCTTGAATTTTATGAGTCTTGAAAGAAAATGGTTATAAAACAATGACCCTGTATAGGAGGAAGCCTGCTATATTAATGTCCAGTCCCCACCATAGAAGGAATGAATAGTACTTATGCCAAATATTTGCCAAACTGGATTGAATTTGGTCTACTCTGGAAACAGAGAAGAGTGATTTATTTAACTTACATATATCATAAATCCTGGGTAAGTAAAAAGAAATCCCATTTCTTACCTTATTGATTAATATTTTAAAATATTGCAAGCACACAGGTAAATTGTAACATATGTGAGTTATGGAGCGCTTTAATAAGATGGACAACAGTGAACTTACCACTCAATGTAAGAAACAGAACAAGCTCTAGATCATTTAAATTCCTCATGGGTCCTTCTCAAGTTCCTTTCTTTCTCCCCTTATTCTGTGACCTATCCTGAAATTCTTAATTACATCCTCGATTTAAAATATATAGATAGTTGACCATATATGCTTCTGTCCTGAAACATTACTTTTTCTCCTTATTTGTAAGATTCATGTAATGACTGCAGAGCAAGACTTTCTAGGTGTACATCTAGGCTAGTTGCATAATGTGTGTAATGTCTTTGTCTGAAAAAATGAAGATGAGAAGCATCCATGTTTGGATCCACAATTAATGCTCATGGCAGCAGCAGTCAAGAAATCAAAAAACACTTTGCATGTGGGTAAATCTGCACAAGACCGCTTTAGAGTATTGGAAATCAAGGTCAGGTGCACCTGACCCAACCAATGGTATTTTGAATTGCTTCATATGCATGTGAAAGTTGGACACTGAATCAGGAAGACTGAAGAAGAATTGATGCATTTTCACTGTGGTGCTAGGGAAGAATATTGAAAGTACCATGGGCTGCTAAAAGGACAAATAAATCGGCTTGGAAGAAGAATGATCAGAGTGCTCCTTAGAGGCAAGGATGGCAAGACTTTGTCTTACATACTTTGGGCATGTTGTCAGGAGAGACCAGTCCCTGGAGAAGGACATCATGCTTGGTAAATTAGAGGGGCAAAGCAAAAAAAGAGGAAGGCGCTTAAGGAGATTAATTAACACAGTGGCTACAATGATGGACTCAAGTATCGGATAGGAATAATTGTGAAGATGGCTAGGACCGTGCAGTGTTTCAGTAGGATCTTTATGGGTTGGAACTCACCAGATAGCACCTCACAACAACCTCTTAAGGTTATTAGTGAACATAATCAAGTGCATAGGACAGTGTCCTCTATAAGAGCTCACGTGTATACTCACATATGCACATTGAGAGGCAGAAGCATAGATCTCTTGATGTCTAGTCAATGCCTCTCCCTCAGTTAGGCTCCTAATTTTAGACTGTATCTGAAAACACTTTCAACATCTACTCACTTATTACTCTTTTTTTCCATACAGAAATACTGTGGGTTCGGTTTCAGACCATCACAATAAAGTGAATCTTGAAATTTATTGGTTTCACTGTGCACACACAGTAGTCTTTAGTTGTTCAGTTGCATTATGAAAAGGTTTGATATTTTGTGAGAATTACCTAAGTGTGACACAGACACAAAACATGAACATGTACTGTTGGAAAAATGACACTGATAGACTTGCTTGATGCAGGGTTGCCACAACTCTTAGTGTGTAAAACAAGTTATGTGTGAAGTACAATGAAGTGAAACTTAACAAACTGAGGTCTGTAGTAATAATATTAGTAGTAATTAAGTAATTAGCACTAAAACGCTATTTTACAGTCTCTGGCCATAAAAGATGTACCTTAAATCCCATTTCTATACTATTGGGGTCTGGGACCCTAGGTAAGTGAAGTACTCAAAACCTCAGTTCCCTCACCCATATGGTAAGGTTGATTAGACGGGGTGTACCAAGCAGCAGGGTTGTTTGTTTGGTTTGTTTGTTTGTTTGTTTGTTTGTTTGTTTGTTTGTATCATGAATGTCCATAGAGACAAGGACAAGGTTTCCAAGGAACTTCGGCAAATACTAACCAGAATCTTTTATATAAACAACCACCACAATATGCCAGAAAGTTTATGTTAAGTTAGAAATGTTTTTAAAATGCTAAAAAAAAAATTTTTTTAAAATAATGGAAAAAAGCTGTAGCACATACTTCTAGGGATGGGGTATGTGCTACAGAGGACAACACTAAACCTACAGGTTGGGAAGAGGGGCCGGCATGCTACATCCACATGGAAGCAAAACAAGAAGGAAAAAGTAAGAGTTGAGGGTCTAGACTCCATGTCAGCACACAAGCCCTAGGGATGACATCCCTGCACTGAGCTGCTAAAGCACAGAGAGGACTGTAGGGCTGACAGCAACTCAAGACATGATGTCTCCTCACTGGTGCATACTCCGACAGAGGACTATATTGGGGGGACACAGCAGGGAGTAAGACTGGTCTGAACCCCCCATAGTGGGGCAAACCAAGAAGGGGACATAACAGATCAGCAACTGGAGCAAAGAAAAGCCACAAAGTCCCTGAGGAGCAAGGGAACTGGGACACCGACAATTATGTTGTCCAACAGATGGAATAACTGCAAGAATCCAAACTTCCTTCCAAATAATATTTACTTCCAAAGTGACATTTCTACTCAATTATATGATATTGTTGTGAAAATTACAACTATAAATCTCTTTGGATTGCTAGAGAATTATGAATACATGCATTGATGAATTAATGACTTATTTGGGTTCAATATACAGATTATATAAGAGAAAACTGATAATCATAATACTATAGAAAGAAATTGCAGCGTCATTAAGTTAATTTACTTAAAGCATTTTAATTATTTTTATTGACTGGGAAGAAAATCGAACGATTACTTATTTTGTGTCATTGAAATATTAGTTTTAATTCTATTTATTAGTATATTTAATTTAATATACTGCTCAATTTAATAAACTAGTGTGAGATAATTTTATATGATATGCTATATTGTGATTAACTCCAGAAAATACTTTAGTTCATCTTATTAGAGAGCATCAGTACATTGCACAGATGGAGTTCTGTAGTTTTTCTTATCAGTGGAAAACACACTAAGTTGTAAGGATTATAGTAGTCTTGCATTTGACTTTCTGTTCTTATGAGAACAATTTTATTGTAAGTATATGGTAGGGGGACTTAAAAAAGTTTGTGGAAAGTGGATTTAAAAGATAATGGAATTTGCTCAAGGACTTTAAAACTCCCTTATACAACATAAATTTGAGTTGGCCTGATCTTTGGACATGTGAAGGGAATGACCATACTAATGATGTGTTCCACTAAGCACATTACTGCAAAAGACCTCTTTAAAGTGTTAATTAGCAAAGAGGTCAACACCTTGAAGACTGGTATGCTTGATCCACACCATGGTATTTTCAATAACTTCATATTCATGCACTATGTAGACAATAAGACTGAAAGAGAAGTAATGCATTTAATTATGGTATTGGTGAAGAACAGTATACCATGGATCAGAAGAATAGAAAAATCTGTTGGAAACACCTTAGAAATGAGTGTGGTGAGCTTTGTCTCATGTACTGTGAACATGTCATCAGGAGGGACCAGTTCTTGGTAAGGACATTATAGTAGGTATAATGGAAAATCAGTGGAAAAGATTAAGCCCCCCACTGAGGTGGATTGGCATACTGACTAGAACAGTGGAAACAGACTTAGTAGGATCAGTTGTGAGGATGGACAGGACTGGGAAGTGTTTTGTTTTGTTGTACATACAGCTTCAATGAGGTAGAATGAACTGACAGCAGCAATCCTTGGAAAGCGATGGAAATAGAGAGGAGAATCAGGCCATGGTGCTGAGCAACAGCATAGTAGCCACTATAATTATTGAAGCCCAGGGTTGGTAGTCCATTTAGATTTGTGTATTTTGTTTTACTTCAAAATGGAAGGTAAATTTATCTCTGAAGAGACCACTCTACCAAGTCTTCATCAAATTATAGTCAAAATTTCCATTTAGTTGAGTTCATTTTACTAATTACGAAGAATTATTCCATGGCAACTTTTATAACAACTTTGGCCCATTTGTGAAACTGTAAAGTTTAAATTTCTGTTAGAACATATAGGTGGTTGGAGATAATGATATAATTGTATTGGTTCATAAGAGATTCCACCTTAATAAAATGTTTCAAATGTCTCTTTGGCATATTGTTGTTGTTGGGTGCCAGTGAGTCTGTTCCCACTCATAGCGACCCCGCGTACCACCGAAGGAACACTGCCCAGTCCTGCGCCACCCGCACCATTGTTTTTCTGTTCCAGCCCATTGATGCAGCCACTGTGACAATCCATCTTGTTTAAGTCTTCCTCTTTTTCGCTACCCCACCACTGTACCAAGCATGATGTCCTTCTCTGGGATCTAGTATCTCTTGGCAACATGTCCAAAGAACATGAGATGAAGGCTCAGCATCCTCGCTTCTAAGGAGCATTTCTGGTTATGCTTCTTCCAAGAGAAGTTTTTTTTTATTGTTGTTCTTTTGGTTGTCTACGATACGTTTAATATTCTTTAATGACACCATAAATTAAAAGCATTGCTTCTTCTTTGATGTCCCTTATTCGGGTTAAGTTTTCACATGCATGTGAGGTCAGGGAAAGTACCGTGGCTTGGGTCAGGTGCATCTTAGTCCTCGAGCTAACATCCTTGCTTTTCGATACTCTAAAGAGGGCTCGTGCAGCAGGTTTACCAAGGGCAACGAGCTATTTGATCTCCTGATCGCTGTTTCCACGAGCAGAGGCTGTGGTTCCCAGCAAGAAGACTTTTCCTCCATTGATCTTGATGTAACCTACTGGTGC